AGGGCTTCTCTTTTGCCCACAGCCATTGACTTATGAGGGGAAGGAGGGAGTTTCAAATTGCCCCAGTGTCATTTAACATCTACTCTATACTGCCAGAAATTTGAGGCACAGTGTTACACAGTTTGATGGAACAAAGTTCTTTCTCTCCCTTTCACCTAAACCTACAGAGGCAACATAAGCGAGAAAGCGGATGACAGGATGAGGGTGAAAAATCTAAAACGTCATCTTGACAAAATGGCAGTTGGGAGTAAAACTAATCCAGGAATAGGTGTTTGACAGGTCCTGGACAGGATTAAACTCCCTTTGAAAATCAGATAGCACTCTGGGGGTACTTCTGAATGCTTCATTGTCCTTACATGAACAGATGCCGGAGTTTGCCAGAAGTGCCTTTTATCAGGCTTTGTTCCAAGCAACCTAGCCTCAGTCATACACAGCATCCTTTGCATGCACACACGATCCACTGGAGAAGGAAATGACAACCCACTCCAGTATCTTTGCCAAAAAAAAACCCCATGGACATTAACAAAAGGCTGAAAGATATGATGCTGGAAGATGAGCCCCTCAGGTCAGAAGGTGTCCAATATACTACTGGGGAAGAGTAGAGGGCAAGTACAAGTAACCCCAGAAAGAATGAAGTGGCTGGGTCAAAGCCAAAAGGACGTTCAGCTGTGGATGTGTCTGATGGTGAAAGGAAAGTCCGATGCTGTAAAGAACAATACTGCATAGGAACCTGGAAGCTAAGATCTAAAAATCAAGGTAAGTTGGATGTGGTAAAAATGAGATGGCAAGACTGAACATCGACATCTTGGGAATCAGTGAACTAAAGTGGATGGGAATGGGCAAATTAACTCAGAAGACCATTATATCTACTACTGTGGCCAAGAATCCCGTAGAAAAAATGACGTGGACTTTATCGTCAACAAGAGAGTGAGAAAGGCAGTAATGGAATACAATCTCAAAAACAAAAGAATAATCTTGGTCCAAATCTAAGGCAAACCATTCTATATCTACTACTGTGGCCAAGAATCCCGTAGAAAAAATGACGTGGACTTTATCGTCAACAAGAGAGTGAGAAAGGCAGTAATGGAATACAATCTCAAAAACAAAAGAATAATCTTGGTCCAAATCTAAGGCAAACCATTCAACATCACAGTAATCCAAGTCTATGCCCCAACCACTGATGCAGAGGAGGCTGAAGTGGACCAGTTCTATGAAAACCTACAACATCTCCTAGAACTAACACCAAAAAAAGATGTCCTTATCATCATGGGGGACTGGAATGCTAAAGTAGGAAGTCAAAAGGTAACTGGAATAACGGACAAGTTTGGCCTTGGAGAACAAAATGAAGCAGGGCAAAGGCTAACAGAGTTTTGTCAAGAGAGCATGCTGGTCATAGTGAACACACTCTTCCAACAACCTAAGAGGTGACTCTACACATGGACATCATCAGATGGGCAACATCGAAATCAGACTGATTGTATCATTTGCAGTCAAAGATGGAGAAGCTCTATACAGCCAGTAAAAACAAGACCTGGAGTTGACTATGGCTCAGATCATGAGCTACTCATTGCAAAATTCAGGCTTAAACTGAAGAAAGTTGGGAAAACCACTAGGCCATTCAGGTTTGACCTAGATCACATCCCTTATGAATATACAGTGGAGGTGAAGAATAGGTTTAAGGGACTAGATTTGATAGATAGAATGCCTGAAGAACTATGGACAGAGGTTCGTGACATTGTACAAGAGGCAGCAATCAGCACCACCCCAAAGAAAAAGAAATGCAAGAAAGCATAGTAGCTGTCTGATAAGGCTTTACAAATAGCTGAGGAAAGAAGGAAAGTGAAAGGCAAAAGTGAAAAGGAAAGATTTACCCAACTGAATGCAAATTTCCAGAGAACAGCAAGGAGAGATAAGGAGGCCTTCCTGAATGAACAATGCAAAGTAATAGAGGAAAACAACAGAATTGGAAGGAGTAGAGATCTCTTCAAGAAAATTGGAGAAATCAAGGGAGTGTTCCATTCAAAGCTGGCCATGATAAAGGGACCTAACAGAAGCAGAAGAGATTAGGAAAAGATGGCAAGAATACAAAGAAGAACTATACAAGAAAGACCTCGATGTCCTTGACAAACACGATGGTATATTCACTGAACTCGAGCCAGATATCCTGGAATGTGAAGTTAAATGGGCCTTAGAAAGCATTACTAACAACAAAGCTAGTGGAGGTGATGGTATCCCAGCTGAGCTATTCAAAGACTTAAAAGATGATGCTGTTAAAGTGCTGCACTCAATTTGCCAGCAAATTTGGAAAACGCAACAGTGGCCACAGGATTGGAAAAGGTCAGTTTACATTCCGATCCCAAAGAAGGGCAATGCCAAGGAATGTTCAAACTATCGCACAATTGCACTCATTTCACACGCTAGCAAGGTCATGATCAAGATCCTACAAGCTAGGCTTCAGCAGTACATGGATAGAGAACTGCCAGAAGTACAAGCCGAGTTTCAAAGAGGTAGAGGAACTAGAGATCAAATTGCCAACATTCACTGGATTATGGAGAAAGCAAGGGAGTAACAGAAAAACATCTACTTCTGCTTCATTGACTATGCTAAAGCCTTTGATTGTGTGGATCACAACAAACTGTGGCAAGTCCTTAAAGAGATGGGAGTACTCGACCACCTCACGTATCTCCTGAGAAACCTGTATAAGGATCAAGAAATGACAGTTAGAACCAGATATGGAACAACTGATTGCTTTAAAATAGGAAAAGGAGTACGACAAGAATGTATATTGCCACCCTGCTTATTTAATTTATATGTAGAGTACATCATGCGAAATGCTGGCCTGGATGAATCAGAAGCCGGAATTAAGATTGCCGGGAAAAACATCAACAACCTCAGATATGCAGACAATACCACTCTAATGGCAGAAAGTGAAGAAGACCTAAAGAGCCTCTTGCTACGAATGAAAGAGGAGAGTGCAAAAGTTGGCTTGAAAGTCAATATCAAAACAACTAAGATCATGGCATCTGGCCCCATCACTCCTTGGCAAATAGAAAGGGAAGTCATGGAAGCAGTGACAGAATTCACGTTCCTAGAATCGAAGAGCTTTGCAGACGGTGACTGCAGCCATGAAATTAAAAGAAGCCTTGGGAGGAAAGCTACGGCAAACCTAGACAGCATAATAAAAAGTAGAGACATCACCCTGCCAACAAAAGACTGTATGGTCAAAGCAATGGTATTCCCAGTAGTAATGTATGGCTGCGAAAACTGGACCATAATGAAGGCCGAGCGCCAAAGAATAGATGCTTTCGAATTATGGTGCTGGAGAAGACTCTTGAGAGTCCCTTGGACTGCAAGGAGATCAGATCAGTCAATCCTAAAAGTAATCAACCCTGACTGTTACCTGGAAGGCCAGATTCTGAAGCTGAAGCTCAAATACTTTGGCCACCAAATGAGAAGGGAGAAGATCCTGATGCTGGGAAGGATTCAAGGTAAAGAAGAAGGGGGTGGCAAAGGATGAGATGGTTAGACAGTGTCATCGATGCAACGAACATGAAATTAAGCAAACTCTGGAGGACAGCAGAAGACAGGAGGGCCTCGCGTGATGTGGTCCATGGGGTCGTGAAGAGTCAGACTCGATTGTACGACTGAACAACAACAACACACCAACCTACCACTGAAGGCAGAGTTAGTTCGGAAAGTAACAACAAATGTCTGAGACTTGCCATTCTCATTATCAAACTGGCAATGTATCAACTGCACTGCTCACCAATTAGTTTCCTGGCATAATTCAAAAAGCAGTTATTGAGGTGCTTTGTGGTCTATGAAATCAAAAACTTAATTACAAATATACTAAAATAGGGGTGTCAAGAATAAGGCAGAGCATAACATGACAAGTGGGCTGCATTTGTTGGGTCATAAACTGAACAGGCTTAGACTAGTAGAAAATTCAAAGCTTTAATGTTTTACTTTACTTTTACTTAAGCTATAGTTTTCATTGAGAGATCTAATGCACATATCAGTATATTCAATCCCTTCCATCTGGAGCTAACCTTGATCAGTTTTGCTGGCTCCAAGTTGGCCGAGTCAGACTCAAGGTTTTGGTGTTGACCCTTAAGACCCTGAGTGGTCTGGGACCTGCATATCTTCGGTACCACTCATCTGGTATGTCCCCGGGAGAAAGTTACACTCTGCTGAGAATAATCTACTCGTAGTCCCTGACCCTAAAGATATCTGGCTGTCCTCAACCTGACGGAACTCTCTTCCAATACCACCAGGGACTAAATGAAACTCCGCAGGGCCTGTAAGGCAGAGATGTTCTGCCAGACTTTTGGTTGAGGACAGCAACGGTTCCATCATAGCCGGCACCCTCCTTCTCTCTTTTTCTTTTCTCCATCTTTGCTTTGGCCCTCTCACCTGCCCACGAGACAGCGGCACAGTCCAGAGTAGGGTGACAAAGATATGTTTGATGCCATCTGAGAAAATGTAGCTGCTTTTCATTTTTTTGTTTCTAATTTTGTTTTTAATGGTTGTACATCGCCTAGAGCCTTACATTGTAGGAAATAAAAGGTAAAGGTAAAGGTTCCCTTGCTCGAAAGCCAGTCGAGTCCGACGCAATTCGTAAATTGAATATATAAAATCAATATAAATAATACATAAGTATGAGAAATGCCAGGTAGTTTCAACTTGTCAATGAGTCCCACCAATTTCAGGAAAATATTTTGGGCTTCCCCAAAAGTCACAGAGACTTCCCTGTAGTATTTCTGTCTTGTACATGAGAGCAAGAAAGGAAGAAGTTGATAACAGGGTTCCAAGGGATAAGACCTCTAGTATCCAAAGGGAAAATGGCAGAAGCCTTTCCCAATGAACTGTGATTTCTATGGGAAGGGGGAAAGAGTTGTACCTTATTTAATAAATGCTGGCACCTCTTGCTTTGAGGCTCTTGGGTATATTATTAACTAAATGTAAGATACTCCTTCACAGTTAACAATGGTATTCTTTACCTGGCCCATTGAGAAAGTCTTTAATCTGGAATGAGATGAGAGGAGGTGGGATGCCGCTTTTAGGATCTATTTCTCCTGCCACCGTCTGTAACCACATCTTGCAGTAGTCGAGAGTTTCTGGTAGAGTTTTTCCAGGATCTACAGGTGATAAATTCGAGTCATGACATGTAATTAATACAACAGCCAGCAGTGTACTGGAAAAAATATATGATTCATACGTGTAAATCTTTTAAGTGTTTATGACTGATATTCACATACCATTTACTTTGTATAAATACAGAAAGACAGAGTAAATGTACATTGTAAATTCTTCATTATAGTAATTACACATAACTTTGTAACAGCTACAAGTCACCAAACACTATCACTATCAAATGTATAAAGGCACCATATATGGACAATTAATCTTAGCTTACATGATCAGATAACTGTACACCCTCTTTCTAAAACAAGTCTATGATCTCAGTTCGAAACTAACAGTAATGCAATTTAATTGCTCATAGACGTCTTTTTGAGAGATCTGCACAAAAGTAAAAGCAAGCTAATAAGAGAATGCAATAGAGAGAATAAACTATAAACAAGTCTTAAAGATCAGAAAACCACATGCCTGGAGATGCAGTAGAGTGGTTCTACTTATGGGATATTTGATACAGTTTGCATTTTCACTGACATTGCAATCACTTTTTACTGCTAGGCTTTTGAAGTTAACTTCAGTAGCTTTTCCTCATGGCCCTCTTTAATGGAACCCCTTTGCTCAATCCTTAATATTCCCAATTGTGACTAAAAGTTCACATTTGGTACTTCTCAGTTCTGTGTCTTTCTTCTGGTCCTGGACAATGTATATGAGACATCATTACCGCATAAAACCTTTTTAAGCTTTGGCAATCCACAGCCTTTGTTATAATCTCTCTCTCTTTCACAACTGTGGTCCTTGAGCATGCAAAAATATTTTCAGCTATAGGTTTATTTTGTTTTGGGATGATGATCATAAAATCCATTGCCATCATAACCCTTAATCCTTATAGTGATGTTTACAGAGACTACCCTCCCCAACACTCAGATAATTTCAGTGTGTTACCAGCTGCACTATTCACCTCTAAAAAAGACTGGCCGTTTTCTTTTTAAAAACAGTAGTTTTGTGCTTTCGCTTACACTCAACATATGGCAGCGTGGTGTGAACCGGGCACATAAAGTCTGTCTTGGAATGTCTTTCTTAACCTAGTCACATGATTCATATAAAACCTGGCATATATGGACCCTTATGCAGTTTCAAAGAACATACTGAAACCAATTGATTGTGACTTTAGGTCTGTACAGAAAAAGATTAAAAGTTAGCACTTTTTAGATTTTTTTTCATTTGATCAATTTTCAGTCACCAATTTTAGAGGCACATGTGGGCAGTGTGCTGTATATATTACAATGTTTTCTCTTTTCACTTTTTACTTCCTTAGAGTAGTGCATTCCTATGGTAATTACCAAACAATACGGTGTGGAAGAGTATAAAAAGATTTTGCACATTCTCATACTATAATAGTTAGCTCTTCAGTGACATGACTGTGTTTTTGTAAAGGTAATATTTCAAGTTGCCTGTTTAGCAAATATCAGAATTTATTTCGGAATGCTAGGGACAGTAGTAGAACTAGAGAAAGTAGTCAGAGCCATGCACAACAAAGTGGTAAACAAAAATGAATGAGTTATATACTGTTATAATACATTATTTTTAATGGACCCAAGTCATTAATTTGAGCATAATATAATTGCAGATGAAAACTGCTTAGAAAGTTGACACAAATTTTAGAGTTAAACAAGTCAGCAGGACCAAATTATCTGAAAGCTTCTCTTTAAGAACTCAAATGTAAGAATTAATTTTTTTTTAAAGTAGGTAATCAATAACATCAGCCTCCTAAACCTGCCATTCTAATGCCTGGCATCAGATACGCTGGAAGAAAGCATGATTAAAACAAGAATTATTAAATATCTCAAAGAACAAGCCTTGCTGATAAAAACATCAGTATGCATTCTGCATACAGAAGACTTGCCTCACCAATGTCAGTATAACTATCAACACACACACACACACACACATATTGTGCAAATTGGCAGCTATTTTAATTTGTTCAAAATGATCTGGAATTGGGGGTGAAGAGCGTAGAGGCCAACTTTGCAGATGACTCAAAACTATTCAGGATACTGAAAACCAAGACTTGACTTGAATTGAATTTTATTGTTACGGCGCTTAGCCAGCAATATAAAACCATAGGGAAAACCAAGACTGATTGTTAAGAGCTCCAGAAGGATCTCCACAAATCAGGTGCATGGGCAACTATATGGCAACTGAAGTTCAATGTATGAAGGTATAAGATGATGCACACTGGAACAAAAACTCCCAACTTCATGTATATACTAACAGAACCTGAAGTTACTGAGACTGAGAGGAAAAGAGACCTTGGGATCGTAGAGGATAGCTCTATGAAAGTGTCAACGCAGTGTGTTGCAAAAGTGAAAAGGCCAACTCTATGCTGGGGAAGAAGAAGAAGATTATGATATTGGATTTATACCCCACCCTTCACTACCCAAAGGAGTCTCAGAGCGGCTTACAATCTCCTTTCCATTCTCCACAACAGACACCCTGTGAGGTAGGTGGGGCTGAGAGAGCTCTTTTGAGAATTGCTCTTTCAAGAACAGCTCTTACAGAACTATGGCTTGCCCAAGGTCATCCAGCAGCTGCAAGTGGAGGCGTGGGGAATCAAACCCGGTTCTCTCAGATTAGAGTCCACACTCTTAACCACTACACCAAACAAAACAGGCAGTATTATAATGCCCCTGTGTATATGGTATAGCCTCATTTGGAATACTGCGTGGTTCTGGTCACTATATCTTAGAAACAACACTACATCAAAACCAACATCCGCATCGTGCTGCCATGGTGGTGCAACACGAGGGAGCTCAGAAGGCATTTAAATGTTGTGACCAGAATTGGACTCAGAAGACCGGAAGTGGACTCAGAAGGTATTTAAATGCCTGCTGAGCTTCCTTGCACCATGCTGCAGTGGCAGCACAATGCTTCCACGGACCAATACAACAGACCAAACACCACCACCCCGAAACAACCTGGGTGGTCCGTGGGAAGCGGAAGGGCATGGACTGGGCAAACAGTCCACGAACTGGGCCCTGGTCCATGGAAAAATTAGGTCTGCAGTCCAATCCATGCTCATCTCTATTGGCCACTATGTCCTGCTGTTGGCCCTCAAGAATAACTGGTTGGCTGGCCAATATGTGAGACAAGATGCTGGACTAGATGGACCACTGGTTTGATCCAGCAGGGCTCTTCTTATGTGTTTTTCACAGAAAGATAAAAAGTTTCTCACAAAGCCATTCACCAAAGATTCTCAAGAAAATTTAGCAATCTGAGAGTAGGAGGACAGGTTTTCTCTGGAGTGTTAACTGGCTAAGAAAGAGGACAGTTTTCACAACAGAAAAAATGAGTATTTGTCAGAACAAGGCACAGAGATAGGAACAGAAATGTCATCATCTAATATCACAATGTTTCCATAGATCAGGAATTTGCTGGAAAAAAACAGTTGTGGGGCAAGAGTTATAACTCCGTATGACGAGCTTCCTTCGTGGCTTCAGCATGGCAGCTCTGCACATGTAAGAGGGAAGTATTACACTCTAATTTTTTTCTTTTAGAACCCTGCATTTTATTTGGAAGATACAGCTCTTTTCCACAAAGTATTAGCAGATGCTCCATCAAACTCAGTTGCAGAAATTGGCCTGAATATTAATGTTACAAATCGAATTAAATAGTTCAAACAATGTTGTGTATGGTTCCCATCGTTGTATTTTCTGGTAATAAATAATGCAGTACATGGCAAATGGCCTTGAGATGTGTGTGGCAAAAAATCTAAATAAATAAATAAAAATAATTTGCCAAACTACTATGTTACCACAATGGGATGACCACATTACTAATGACTGATGGAACGATGAGTTCTGAGTACATGTTCTCCGAACCAAAAGGCAATAAAAGCACGTTGTAGCCACATCATTGCTTATTTGGTTAAACCCACATATGTTTTATTTTCTTAGCATTCTGTGTTTTATGAGTTGAAGCTGTAAAAAGAAGTGAGAATTTTTTTGTTATTCAAACTCCAATTATGGCTTTTTATGTGATCAGTTATTTGATCAAACGTCCTAAACTTGCTTGAATCTGGGATTTGTTTATATATTTGAGGGGTTAAGAAGAAGCCAAAACACACAGAAAAAAGTGAGAATAAGATACTCTAATTATGGGCTATTGACCTGCTTCTGCTTCATCTCAAGAGAAGCAATCATACAAACAGGACCACAGTCTCAAGCACACAGAGGAGTGAGAATGACAGAAATTCAGGGCTCTCTTTCTAGAGGCAAAGCAGGCTCTGTATGGGCAAGCAGCCAAATCGGTAAACAGACAGTCAATTTGGTTAGAAGGTAAGCAGTCAAACCAAGAAGCAGGTAAGAAGGGACAGGCACTAAGCACAGCTTTGTAAGAGTGGTGAGTTATTTGGATTGAGCAGCCAGCCAGATTCAGAGGTTCAAGGACCAAGTGGAATCCCCACTGGCTCCTTCTGTCACCTGCCCTCTACTGAGATGGCAGCTGCAGAAATAGCTGCAGTACCAGTCTCCATCCACCTGTGGCACCAAGGCATAAAAGAGATCATCCAGTAGCTCCCACTTCTGCCAAATCATCATTATGGCATCACTGTGCTGAGAATCTAGAAAGCTCTAAGATTAGAGAATGACCCACAAATAGAAAGCTGGTTAAAATGAACTATGGTTTTAGCATGAAATCTGAACTGAGCCACAGAAATAAAGATCCAGTATCCAAACAGAAACAGTGTAAAACGTTTGGAAGGGTAAGTAAAGCAGAGCTGGGTATTGCCAGGGCAACCATGGTACTAACAGGTCAAAATAAGAAGCTAGACTGCTATGGGACTATGATGTTAAACAGTGGCAACTTCAACTAAGAGCAGAAAGATTGCGAGTTGAATCCTGCATTAATAAACCATACCTGAAACAATTTTGGACATCTCTGTGTAAGCCCCTAGTGTCAGTAATAAATGCATACATTCACTCCCATGGCTCACTGAAAAGACCAGTAATAAAGGCTATCCACAAATCACTGAGATTGCAGAAGTCAAAACTATCCCCTGCATGTTTCTAGGATACTTCAAGAGTCAAGTATTGGTGGATTACAGCCAAAGCCTTACTGCTTCTCTCAAAGAACTGGGCCCAACTTTCCTTGAAGTCAAAACATACATTAGTATCTGGGAAAAAAATGACTAAGCCATGTACTGATAGAATTTTATAAGGAGAAATTAATAGCCATGTCAGTTTATATTTGTTTTTTATCATTGCTTTATCCCACTTAGGCAGCCTTTCTTCTGGAAGATCAGTTATTAACTTAATGCAGGCTATGGCTAGAATCCAAAGAAACACACAACATAACTGGATTCACCAACGATGGCCTCACATGTCACCTGGAAAACTAAATTTGAAACTGAAGGGAATTTCCAAAGCAGTTTGTGAATTGCAGTAGGAGGTCTGCTGCTCAAAGGGCACTGGAGGAAGGGGGAACAGTAAAACAAATAAAATCCTCGGATAGTCCTGTAGATCTTAAGTACCTTAAAAGCAGTTCTTGTCAGTCCTTCTTTTACTACAGGTGGAATTTGTTCTCGCTACAGCTTCAAATATTATTTTATTTTTGCTAAAACATTTATTAGATTAACGTTGTGGGTTTCTGTAGTTAACAGTTTGGGAGAGGGGAATGAAAATTATGTGAATTATAATATAAATCAGACAGTCCAAAATTCAGTCTCCAGTATTTCCAGCTAAAGGATCTTGGATAGCAAGTGTTTTGCTTTCTTTGTCTGAAACTCTGGAGAGCCACTGTCAAGTAAAGTAGTGAGCTAACGATCTGACTTGGTATATGGCAGCTTCATATGTTCAACTTTCCCCATTTTATTCTTGTTTCTAGCAATGCCCCTCAAAGCTTTCAGTGAAAAGATACACAGACTAGCTGAACCATTCCAGTTCTCTCTCTATGGTGTTATTTATATTTCAACCTTTTTTTTTTACAAATGGCATACACCAGGTGTGGCCAAACTTGCTTAATGTAAGAGCCAAGGCATAAAAGAGATAGAATAAACGTTAGATGTTTGAGAGCCACAAGACATGAACAAATATTACATATTTTATTGAAAAATATGCACATTAGCTTTTCCTAACATTAAATGAGACTGCCAAAAATAAAAACAAAAGGGGTAAAAACATATATTGATAATGATATTTATTTGTCCAATGATATTTATTTGTTTGCTAATAATATTTATGTCTCTAAGAGAGAGAGGGGTGGAAAGAAAGAATGAAAGAAGTGGAAAGAAAGAGAGCGAGAAACAAAGAAAGCAAATAGATGGGGAAGGGAGGGGAAGATACGAAGGAAGAGAGACAGAAAGAAAGAGAGCAAATAGATGGGGAGCTGCACAATATGTGTGAAAGCCACAGTTTGGCCACCCCTGCCATACACCTTTTTAGCTAGAGTTGCCAACCTCCCGGTGGTGGCCGGAGATCTCCTGCTATTACAACTGATCTCCAAGTGACAGATCAGTTGAACTGGAGAAAATAGCTGCTTTAGGAGGTGGACTCTAGGGCATTACACCTAACTGAAGTCCCTCCCCTCCCCATTCTCCTCAGGCTCCGCCCCTCAATTTTCCCAGTAATTCCCAGCCCAGAGTCTGCAACCTTATTCTTAGCAGCTCTTACCACCATTTCCCAAGGGATTCTGTTTTCATCCTTTTCCAACAATAGCTCTGAAAATTACCAAGTACACAAGGGCTAAATCAATGCCTAAACCAGGAGTGTCAAATATATGGCCCGTGATCCAGCCCAAGCTTTCAATCTGGCTCCAGAGCAACTGGCTGTGTGCTCCTTCCTGTTTCTAACATCGCGGCTCCTTTTAGCCAGTATCTCCTATTTCCTGCTTCAGAGGGGTGAAAGAAAGCCTTCCCTTGATTGGCTGAGGGCTCTTCCCCCTCCTCCTCTAAGGAGGGAGGGGGAGGGAAA